CTAAACATCACAGACATACCTATTTTGCAAATTAACCCCTGGAAGATTAAATCCCTGTATGAGACAAACACAAACGATTGTTTACTAAATTTTATACTGAAGGGACTTGAAAACATGAACTACCCCTTTTGGCTTTATTTATTTTCAAAAGACAAGAGACATATTCTTCAAATCCTAGGAAATATTTCCAGTCACTAAATTTCTTATTTTAATTACTAAGACCTCCTATCATGGCAGGGTATCATGGCCTGAGAAGAGGTACCAAGAATGATGAGGTAGAAGGTGAAAATGAAAGGGTTGCTACCTCCCTCTAGTGAAGAGCCTGCAAGGGGCAGGTCTCCTAGGAGTCAGCCGGTTCAGAGTTATTCCTAAATGATTCCATATGCTTCCCTTTGAGACGAACCTCTTGGCTAGTTGCCAACATAAGACCATCCCTTAACAGCATTTGGAGCTCTGACTTCCCCCAGGAAAGGCACCCCAAGACCTTTCCTGTATCAAGCAAACCTCGAGATAGAGGATCAGAAGGAACACGGATCACCCTGCCTTGAATCCACAACCACAGACCCATTGTCTAACCCTAGTCACGTAAACCAGTTAGTGGGTGTTGCCATTTGTGACTGATACAGCCATACAGGCACAACTTTTCTGATACCCAAAAGCTCACTGAAGATCTCATGAAGATCTCATGCCTGTGATTTCAGTATCGTGGAGAGTTTGAGGTAAGCCTGGGGTACAAAGTAAGTTCCAGGCCAACCTGGGCTACACGATGAGCCCTTTCCCTGAAGCAAAGCAACAAAAGATCAACAACAGATGAAAAGAACTCATTGAGGTGGTTCCTTTCTCGAAATGGAGCCATTCAGTAATATCATACCTCGTAGACTCTAACAAAAAATAATCAGCAATAAATTTGTATTGCTACCAAATCTTTAGCATTTAGGAAAACAGATGGAATGGCAGAAACTATATGGTGCAAGATACATTGGAAATCAGAAGTCAGATTTGTTCTGTCCTGTCACTACCACGTCCCATGTAAGGCTTGGGGCAATGGTTTGAGATAATTTTTTTTTTTTTTTGAGAGGGCGCCTCACTCACTCTGCCTAGCTCTGATCTAGTACTCACTGTATAACTGTGGTCATGTGAATGAAACCAGCTCATATATATATACATATATATATGCTCATAAATACTAGTCTGTAGTTGATGAACTTGAGAATGATTAGTAGATGCAGCCTTGGTGAAGGAGGTGTATGGATGGGGGTGGTCTTTGAGGTTTCAGAATTCCAGGCCCAGTTCTCTCTCTCTTTCTCTCTCTGCCTTCTGCCTGTAGATCAGGATACAAAGCTCCTGCCCCAGGGCCACACTTATCAGTTTCCCCCATGATATGAACTAACCCCCTGAAACTGTAGCTGACCCACCTAACTAAATGCTTTCTTTTATCAGAGTAGCTGTGGTCCTGATGTCTCTTCACAGCAATGGAACAGTAACTAAGACAACAGACTGGTCTTGAACTCATAGCATACCTCCTACCCCTGCCTCTTAATCCTGAAGTTACAGGTAGGAATCTATCAAGCTGCAAATAAGACCTCAAGTGTTTTATTTGTGTGAGATAGGGTCTGATTTGGTCCAGATTTAAGCTTGCCAAGCAGTCAGGTATGACCTTGAACTCCCTATCCTCCTGAAATTATATACACCACCTCTGCTTCTTTTGTGTTTCTGGGAACCAAATCTAGGGCTTCATGCATTCTAGGCAAGCATATTACAAACTGGGCTACATACCAGCCTGGGAAGATTTCTAAGGTTCCTTTTACTCCCAGAATTATTTTGCCCAGCTTGCCCCAAATAATCAAGCTTGAATTGTCTTCAGATTTCTAATCTGAGCTTGATACAACTGAATACATTGTATATACCCACCCATCAGTTTATGGATCTCTCCCACCTACCCACCCATCAAGCTCATTTGCATAGATGCCAGGCATCTTTGCCCCTCCACACACAGGAGGCTTCTTTTTTTCCCTTCTGTCTAAGATAACCCTATCCATTCATGTGCTCTGATCCCGATACACAGAGTAGAGAGCAAAAGAGGAGAAGCTAAGATGCTCTGTTTTGTACCTGCATTCAAAGGCAGCATCTGCTGTGTCTGCAGGACCATCTGTTGCTCACTTTGACATGGAAAAGATAGTGCAGGCCTCAGAAGTGGTGTCACAGGTCACACACACCCAGACATATGTCCCATAGTCGCCAAGGCTTACATCACTGCCCTCATCCAGGAGTGTATTTGCTTGTGAAGAATGGTATTGCTAAACTCTCACAAAGGGTCAAGTACAGTTGGTTTTTTTGTTTGTTTGTTTTTTGTTATTTTGTTTTTAAATTCAGCTTGTTGAAATATCAATTAAATTCTCTAATCTCAGGTTCTAACTAGAGCTGTGTCTTCCACTAATTCATTCAAGGTCTTACCAGTCTTTTAAAGATATATCACCTATTTAAAGTGAGAACTGAGCTTAAATCACCCAGGTTCCCTTGTGTTCAAACTCAACTTTAAGCCAATTCAAAAGCATCAAAGAAACCCAACAAGTTCCTTCATCCCCCACAGTATATTAAGACTCTTAATGTCAAGGACAGAAGGATCTACTGCAGGTGAACAGACTTCTGGGACATGAGCAACAAGAGTTAAGTAAGTAAATTTTGTGAGGATCCAAATTAAATTAAAGTTCCTAATTTGCCAACATCTTGCTGACCTGGGGAAATGCTCTAGAGAACAGGGCCAGATAGTTCTGTATGTTCCAGTCACTGCAGGATATTCAGCAGATCTCTATTCAATGGACACTGGTTGCAATTTCCTACCATCAGCTGTGATAATCAAAATATTGTGCCAGCATTCCCTTCAGACTAGATGCCACTTCCTCTTCCTGAGAACTACTCAGAAGGTGTTTATGTTTCAAAAGGATGGCATTCCTGCATCTAATGAGTAAGCACAGAGAGATTTAACAGCACATTATAAAGCACAGGTATGTGTAAATGTGTAAAGTCCCTGCCTTTCTTTCCCTGTCACCTGGGGCACTACCTCTCTGCCAATGGCTGCAATTTAGCATCCTGTAAGGTCAGTTATCATACCCACAACCCCAGCTGCTTTTTAAAACTATGCAAAAACTTATCTGGGCTCTGGGACTTGATTTCTTCATTGCACTCCATAACCCATCATGCTTAGAGTCTTCAACACCCATGAAAGGCATGAAGACCAGAGTTTGATTAAATCAACTTTGGCTTTCTCTTCTCTCTCCTGAGAATGCCAGAGATAGTGGTTACCTTTGGGCTGAGCTATTGAAGACATATGTTGACTCTTTGCCTATCATCTTATCTAGCATTTCTTGCTTGCCCCAAAAGGATCCAGCAGACATTTTTATGGCCATTCTCACCCCAAAAGAACAGCAGCTGCCAGCTGCAGAGAAACAGACTGAACCCTGAAAATTAACTACAGTGATGACGGCTCTTAACCAAACATCTCATTTTGCCTTTTGTGAGAGAGCTAGGATTTGCAAACTCCCCTGCTTCAGGAGTAAAAGCTGCATTAGCTGAAAGCAAAAACTCAACTGTCCTCCCTTTGTCAGAGTTTGGAGACATTGTACAGAGTTTCTTAATTATATGCCATATTGAAGTTCCATAATACATTTATCAGGAAAAATAAATAAATAAAAACCTTTTAAGCAACTAGATTCAAGATACGAAAAAGGATCCTTGAAAGATACAACTGTTTCATTTCAGAGAGCCTTAGCTCTTTATTCAAATAAATATTTACACAATTGAAGCCAATGGCACTAGGCATATTCTGTTAAAATAGGGGGCTACTCTAAAGGTTTATTTATCCGAAATCCAACTACTCTGTTGCTATCCTACCAGGAACAAAGAATTCAAGTGATCCAAGGGCAAAAGTTTAACCCTATGGAACTGTGAACCATATTTGGTGGATCCCACTAAATTCAGACGTTTGAAGCCCAAAGAAAAAAGTCTCAAACGTCCAAATTAAGCCCACATTGGAAGCTTAGTTACAAACATCATAATTGAAAATTACACATTCATATTCTGGAGGCAAATGCGGCTGGCAGATATTTATACTAACAGACTTCACATTTTATGTCTCTTCTAGACCCCTCACAGCTGCGACGGGCTATGGCTAGCTGTGCATCCTAGAACTCGAGTAATTTCAGAACCACAAAAGGAAGACTTCCAGGGAAGAGGGTTGGGTTGAGCTAAAGGATTTCCAGCCCTAGCCGGTCCACATAAAAGGCTGCAGGAGTCTTCCCTCTTTTAAGTGAGAAAGGTAAAAGAGGAGCCGCTGGAAGGAGGTTGGACTTGTAAAGCTTTTTCAAACAGGAAATCCCAATCCGGGAAGGGACAGCCCGTCAGCCTTTTAATTTCCTGGCAGTGGCGGGAGTTAGCTAGGTCCTTGGTGCTTCAAGTGCTGATAGTTAGGGCAAAGTTACTGCTCCTCCCCTGGTGAAACAGGGTCGAAAAGATCCCAGGACTTGTAGCTGCCATCATTAAGGGCGGAGGGACACACAACACCATACCATTTACGTTTAGGGAAACTATAGCTGAATCGCAATCATGGGCTCCTGGTGAGAATACCGGTCCGGAGGTTCGCCCTGCAGCCTCACTCTGGAAACAAAGTGCAGCTAGAAACCTAATTCAGAAGGTCCTCTAGGAGTCCCATACTCCTCAGGATCCAGCTGTGGACCCTCTCTTTCCCCGGTGTCCAGATCTCTGACTAAGCGAGTTTTCACGAAAGTTGCCTTGGGGACGCTTAATTAAATCCTGCCTTTTCGCCTCAATCACTGTAGAGACGTCACGGAACCCACGAGCCCTCCACCCGACATCATCTTGCATAAGGAGGGCAAAAGTATCCTAGGGTTGTACGGTTCGGGCTCTACCGACCCCTGCCCAGGCTTTTGTCCCTACAGCCTGCAAGGGAAGCAAAGAAAATCTGTGCCCAGAGTGCCACTCACCAGCTCATCTTTCTCTGTAGCCGCAGCTCTCTCCACCGGTCCCGCTGCCCTAGGGCCTGGCTCTCGCTACCGCTCTCCCTCCCTGGGGTCCCCGCAGCCGCCACAGCCGCCGCAGCCAGCCAGTCCCTGAGGCCGCGCACCGCGCACTCCGGGCGCCCCTCCCGGTGGGGGCGGCCACCGCCTCCTCTCCGCCCCCGACCTCCGCAGCGCGACCGGCGGCTACCAACTCGTCTGCGGGGGACGCCGTGTCCCCAAGCAGCCGCCAGGGATCGCAAAAGCAGCTCAGTCTGCTCCTCCAGGCCCACTCTAGCCCCCCTACTCGCCTAGGGTGACGAGGCGTCCTGGTGCCCGCGGCCACACAAGGCAGACACACTGCTTTGCTCCGTGCCACACTCAGCAGCGCCCCTCGGACCGCGATGGTGGACTCCACGAAGCTCGGTCCCCGGTGCCGACCCCCTCCTGAATTACAGCAGCGGGTCCTTGGAGTTCCAGCCGTGAAGTCGGTCCCGGAACCTTCCTCCTCCTGGGCAGCTAAGTTGCTGCTGCTTTTACGGCTGCGGGAGTGGCCCGGCTCCACTTTCTCAAAACCGTGTTCGCAGCTTTGAGTAGTAGTAAAACCTCTGTGATTGGCCTTTTTCTTTCTTTTTTTTTAAGAAGGTGGAAATGGGACCGGAGAACACAAGTCCTCGGGTGGTGATTTCCTCCCCATGATGAAGTTTCTGCACTGGGAAACTCCAGGTGACCGCACCTATGCCACACACTGTTTTCCCCGGGGCAGGTTTACCTGATGCCTCAGAAAAGCAGCTGTGCCAAACAGCAGTGCAACGCCTGGGGTCAGGGCAGGAGTGACGAGTCTTTAAAGCTCTGTGACACTGATTTCCTTGGAATGGTGTCTCATAAACGATTCTGTGTTTTCCATGTTTTAACATAACCAGTGAAAACTATACTAATGTGGACTTTTTTCACTATTGCTTCGCTGAAAGACTAGGATGATGCACACACAGTCTATCTTGACACACGCAGATGTGACTGTCTGCAAAGTTCTGGCCCAGTGGGGTTACAATGATGAAAGACAACCCGTAGGAACTCAAAGCGCAAGCGAAGCGCAAGAACTGGCAAGTTCTTTAACTAATAACAATGTAGCCTGGGTCAGTTGCTTTACCTACAAGCAAGGATGTCTCCAAGGCTGTACAATAGAGGTGTGGGTGTGGCTGGCGCCGCAAGGCAGCCTCTGCATCATCTATGCAAAATGCCTGGAGCTGTGAGTACACTCACATAACAAAATGCTCCTTTAAAATGTTTCATTTGTGTAAGTAAAAGTCTGACTTTTTAAATTAAATATATTTTACTATCTATGTAAATGTATGTGTGTTGTTGTGCTTGCATGTGCACGTGAATCCAGGTAAGTGGGGGGGGGGGGGGAGGCAGAAACGACGTGGGTTTTGACAGCCAGACTTGATCCTCTGCAAGAACAGTACAGCTCTTAGCAGCTGAACAACCTCTTCGGCCCATAAAGTTTGACTTGTAATTTCTGTGAGAGCCACTCCTATAAAAATGGTTTGCGTTTTCGAGTATTATCTGCCCACCACCCCAGTTGGATTTACCCCACAGTAATAAATTCGCATGAGTTCCTCTCATCTCCATCAACTTATAATCACTTAGCACATCTCAATCAAAATGAAGACATTCTCGACTCCACTTACCTTTCCATTCTGTACTGCTGAACTATAACAGAACACCTTTCAGGAAGTGAGAAACGCTATGCTGTCCCCACTTTCTGCCTTCTCGTTTACTCCAGTCAGAAGTTGCCTTTATTGTATCTCCTTGAGCTTGAATCACCCAAATGAAAGATTGCTCCTCCCCAGGTATGATGGTACATGACAATAATCACAGCACTTGAGAAGCTGATGCAAAAGGACCAAGAGCTCCAGGCAAGCATGGGCCTTATAACAAGTTGGGACCAGACTGAGACATGTATTGAATACCTAACTCAAAACACCAAGGGCTGACTAGTGAAATCAATATGGTCATTCCTCAGAAAATTGTGAATCCATCTACCATAAAATTCAGCTACAACATTCTTGGGCACATACCTAAGGGACACACCATCCTTCCACAGGCATCCTTGCTCAGCTATGTTCATTGCAGATTATCCATAACAGCCAGAAACTAGAAACAACTTAGATGTCCTCAACCAATGAATGAATAAAGCAAATGTGGTATATTTATACAATGGAGTATTACTCAGCTGTTAAAAAAAAAAAGACATTTGCAGGCAAATGGATGGAACCAGAAAAAAAAAACCACCCTGAGTGAGGTAACCCAGACCCAGAAAGATGAACATGGCATGTGCTCACTAACTTATAAGTGGATATCAGCTCTTTAAAATGATAATCAAGCTACAACCCTCAGTCCCAGAGAGGTTAGGTAATGAGGAGGGTTCTATGGGGGGTGCATGGATTTCCCTGGGAAGGGGTAATAGAATAGATTTTGCAGGTGGACTGACAGCAGGTGTAGATGAGAGAGAGGGAACAATTGTGTGTTGGGGAGGGGTGCTGGACTAACTCAGCATAAGCAAATTCAAGCTCTGTGTTCTTAGTCCAAGGGGCTGGGAAAAGCACGTATCACTCCTCAGCAGCAATGACCAGCTGATCAGTAGTTCCTTTTTGTCTTCTTGTTCCCTTTGACCTAACCACTGAGTACCCAGAGATTTGGGATTTCCAATATATTGTGTTTAGTAGTGCTGGTCTTCTGCCCCATGTCACTAAATCCCTTCATGTGTTGACTCTTCACAAATGTTGCCTCCAGACAAACCCACTCCCCAGAATCTAAGGCTCCTGCCAGCTGCCCACATGGATGCCTACGGACCTCATAGCTATCATTGTCAACACTGATTCCCTGAAATGGTTTTTCCTGTTCCCAACCACTCTTTTCCAACTGAAGTCATCCCATATCAGGGATAAAACCTTACATCAGCGTTAAATTTAATTTCTCTCCAACCCATCAGGAAGTCTTTTCTGCTTTTATTAAAATAAAAACAGAACTCAACTACTTACTGCCTCACTGCTCATCTCAGCTAGATCTCATCTGTCATACTGTCTTGACTTTACCCTTGCACTGTCTTTACTCTCTTATGGGGTATTGTCAACACGGATACCAGGGTGACCATTGTAAAATATTAGGCAACACAGTCTACTCCTTCCCTTGTAATTCTGCAGTGACCCTATTCAGTCCAGGCCAAAGCCATGTGTTGGCCTAGAAAGGCATTGTTGACCTACCCTTCTCTAACATTACTCCTGATTCTCTTTGTTCATTCTTGATACCATGTCCTCCTCAATATCTCCACATTTGATTCCTGGAGACTTTGTATCTGCCTCAGGACCTCTGAGCTAGCTGCCCATCTGTACTAAGCTCCCTAACCCTCCCCACTCCATGTATCTGTATAGTTTGGCCCTTCATTTCCTTTGCTTAAATAAAACTAAGTTGCTCCTGCCTTCTATGACCGCTCTGCTTAAAGTCTAAGATGAATTTCCCGTACAGATACATTTTCTCTATTTTGTCATTGTAATTTGTACTGTAACAAATATCTGAGATAATAAATGTATAAAGAGAAAAGGTATATGGCTCACAGTTTTGGAGATTTCAGGTCACAGTTCATTGGCTCAGTTGTTTTGGGTATGTATATGACAAGGCAACACATAACAACTGAACAGCCAAAACTCACTTCTAGGAAGCAAGAGGGTGGGGCTGGTCAGTGGCCTCTGCCTTCCATTTTCCTTTTCTTTCTTTTCCTTCTTCTTCTTCTTCTTCTTCTTCTTCTTCTTCTTCTTCTTCTTCTTCTTCTTCTTCTTCTTCTTTTTAAGACATGGTCTTCTTGTATTTCACAGGCTCACCTAGGACTCCCTGTATAGCTCAAGCTGAACTGAACTCAGAGATCTGCCTGCCTCTGCTTCCAGAATACTTGGGTTAAAGGTATACACTACCACATTGGGTTTAGGGTTTTATTTCTTAAATCTTCCATGTCCTTTCAACAGTAAGGTAAGTGCTGAAACAAGTCTCCAACAAGAGAATTTTGGGTAACACTCCAGATCTCTAGATGTAAACTGTCCAAGTCACAAAGTGTACTCCTAAGTTTCATTAGCATCTGTATAGCCTTATTGGAATGGGAGTTTCAGACAGACATAGATTTTTAACATGCTATATCACTAACACGCCTAGAGTGTTCCCTGACATAGAATTCACATGCATGCATGAATGATGGCTTTGACCCAATGCTTATAGATATCTCCCTGTCTGAAATATGGTAACTGATACACTTGACCTAGATAATTATTCTCCAAGGAATATGTGCACTAAAACAATACATAAACAGGCTGTATTTAAATTGCTAACATTCATGCACAAGAAAAACATCACTGATATTTATGAAAAAGAACAATTACTGTGCATTCTTCTAAATACATGGTGGTATACAGACATTTAGCTGTGCTACTGTGTTCTCATTGTAAAGGAGAAAAGGAGGCAGAGAAAAGTCCCATTTGCCCAAGCATTTGAATTAGTAGAGGCAGAGTTGGAGTGCAGGCAGCAGGATTCTAGAGTGCTCACACCCTTAAATGCTAATGTACACCTCACCTCTTCTCTAGAATGAATACTATCAGAGGAATGTCTGCATAGTGACTAACTCCTAATCAGTAGACAAAAACAAATGTTCACTGTCCTGCTGTCTCTGATGATAACTACATTCCTCACAGGACAAGGGGTCATTTTATTCATATTTATGTGACTCACACTCTAGGACTTGGGAGATAGAGAAAGGGGCCATCAGAAAGTACTTATTTAATGTGATTTTTAAAGTCACTAAATGCCGTAGGGATTCTCTTGATGAGTCAGTGTGGTTTTCCCTCTGTTTTATAATATCGGGGCAGCCTAAAGACATAAGACATCTACCTCAGAGGTACAAGTGGTAAATTGAATTAAATTAAATGGTAAAATGAGACCTTTAATGTCTTAACACATGTGGTGGGTCACTCAAATAACTACTATTAGCAGTACTATCAGATTTACTCTTAGTCATGATGT